AGACCCCTTGTTGTTTGTTTGTAATAAAAATGCCGGAGTTTCTATTTGCGCCGGTCGCTCTAATTTTTATGACCGGCGTTTTCATGACCCGGAGATTGTCACCCGGGGCCCAGAGGCAGCCGGAGGACAACCATCACTACTTGGACCACGGATTGAAACGGCTTCTCCAGGACTTGGAGGACGGTCAACAGGAAGAAAGGATTAAGGCTGCGGAGGACGGCCAGCAAGAGCACGTAGAATAAGAATAACAGTTAAGACGAAATGTTTGTTTATCTTTTTTATTTTTTTTATATAGTATTATTTTGTCGTTTTTTTATTGACTAATTGGAGTTATATTTAGACGTGTGTTAGTGTATAGTAATCCGACAGTATTAGTTCTACGTTATTAACTCTTTATTTGTATTAGTCTGTTAAGATACAAACGGTGCTGTTTAAGTTTACTAAGAATTAATATTAAGTCAGAACGTGTAAGTCCCAGTTAAGGGATGTAGTCGTCACGGTTAGTGATGCCAGGCTGATAGATTTGTGTTTTTTTTCTTTTTTTGCTTAGTTAGCCGTTAAGGGCAAAATGTTTTTGTTTTGAGTTAGATAGCTAGGGAAAAGTCTAAGGCCGCTTGCGCATACACTTATACACACACAAAACAAACAAACAAACAAATAGACAGTTAAATACACATATACAACTGAAGACACAAATAAACACTCAAACACACATTAATCACACATTATACTCCTACGCAACACACACACACAATCCCATGCGTTAAGTCACACATACACATAAGTACACACCCAGAAAAAGAGTAAACAGATAACGACTCAAACATACACCAATCAGTCAGGATTCAAACTCACAATATGTACACACACACACACACCTTAACTCGCACCCTCACAATCACTCAAAGGTAATACACTTATACACACATAAGGTCACACATATACACCACAAGTATTGGAGAGTCATGTAAACTCCATCCACACTGAAATCATGTCTTAAGTCACATACATACGACCAGCCAAGAGACACACATACATACAAGAATAAGCACTCTTACGTACTACACACATACCAGAGAACCACATACATTCCACAAATACAATCGCCAGACGTTAACTCGTACATACACAGTAAATCAAGACGCACACACACACCAACGAATAAGAACTCACACACACACTACGGGAGTTAGAAGGTCAAACATAGTCCGTTCACATCAATTTTAGGTGTTAAGTCGTTCGTTCAAATTATGTCACGTATACACACTAACGTACAATTAAGAAAAGCAACACACACTGTCTATGTCACACACACACACAACCATTCACACCACACACATACTTACCCTTATTCGCGCCCCTAGAATGGGAGGAGTGGGGAGTCGAAGCTGCGCGGTCAGAGAAGGCGGCGAGGAGAGTCAGTCGATATAGAGCTCTCGCAAGGTGCGGATGCGGATGCGAAATTAACAAGCTCTTCGCGGCTCATTTTGCATTAAATTTTCGATATCTTAAAGTTTATGTAATGTACGAAAAGTAGGAGTTTTATATTATAAGTATTTGGTGCTTAATAAACGTAATAGAAAACAAAGTCATATTTGTGAGGTGCGTTGTGTCTTGGTTTATCCCGATATCCCGGAAAGGCCCACGTCGGCTGGAAAAAGAGGGAAAGGACTGCATCGAGCATCTGTTGAAATCCTTGGTGTTTGGAGGAAGCTGGTAGCTGTAAAACACCTGGCGACCGTCAAGAAAGGACGAAAAATTGTGAGTCTCATCCATTGTTATTACCTAACCCTGGTCACAAGATATCCGGGTTTGTTTGGAAAGCTGCTCGAATAGTTATCTAAAATTTTGTGTTATTGCTAGGCGCAGTTTATCTTTCCGGGCGCCGATATAATTTTTGTTTATTCTCCTATTGTCTGGAGTTTTAAGTTTCCAAACGATAGGAGACCCGTCCAAATTATTTATTATTATTGACAAAAAAAAAAATAAAGGGTTGCTATGCGCTGGCGCGTCGCGTTGCCGGAAAAAAAGGACCGTGGAGTCTCCAGGACGTAACAGTACTTACCGCAGGTGTGTAAGTCAGAACCTAACCCTGAGTAAAAATGTAGTTATTAGTAAAACTGCGCCAGTGGCCAAGTCTGCGTTAGAGTAGGTGCCTNANCAAGTTTCACCAACANCTGGTATGTTAGGTACTTACTTCAAGTAGTTGAGCCAGAACCTAACCCTGGGTAAAAGTTATAATTGTTAGCNAAACCGCNCCGANGTGCGATTCTGCGTAAGATTAAGTGCTACGCTGAGTTTAAGCAACAATCAGGGAGTTAGGTGTTTACCTCGAATCTTGACAAAAGTACTAACTTTGCAAAGTGGTTGGAGTTAAGACGAAAATAGGATTTTCTAAAGTGAACTCGGCGTGTTTGATCAAAATCACGAATTTTTGGAAAATACACCTGTTGGTTCAAAAACCTAACTTTGACAAAAATTTTAGTTGTTGATGAAATTGAACCAGAGCGTTTATTTGTGACCAAATAAACGTCTCAAATCAAAATTTGTCACTTTTAGAAAATTCTAATTTTTGTCTGGGTTGTGCGCATGCGCAAACGACTGGTGGGAGAAGCGGGCCTTCGTGGAGAAGCCGAGCGCACCGCACGGGAGTTGGAATCGAGCGCTCACTAAGTGAACAGCGTAATAAAAAACGAGTCCGCTCAGAGACGTACACGAACGTCCTAAAACAAATTGGTAGTAGTAAAAGCGTGTCGCGCTCATTGTAAGTGTCAAAAGCATAAAAGTACGCGATACCGGAAATCGGTTGTGAATAACGCGTTCTGTATATATAACTTTGTAACACGAGAAAATTGTTAGTAGTAACAAATGTTAATAAACATTTTATAAACTATACAAGTCATAAACTCAGTGAGTGATTATTTCATATCACCTAAACTTTGAAGGAACAGAGGCCGTACCAGAGGTCCATTGTCCGCAGTTATCATCCGGAATCCGTAAGCAGAGGAGATCCAAAGGCAAGGGCGGCAAGTTTGGATTTTGTTCATCTGCTGAGTCCGTTCCTACAACAGACCAAAAGAGTTGTATCCTTCTTACTTGGTTAGTAAAAGTAGGTGGCAACCGTAAATCAGTGCGCTAAAGACAGTCCCGTCCGGTCACAACCTTTTTTTTTTTTTTTTTGACGAGGGGAAATCCTTTATAGATATCCTGGTCTTGGGGGAAGCCAGGGTTATGTGGGACTCCCTCCGGAAAGAGGAAGGCTACCCACTAAAACCCCCCGATGAGCCTACTCTGCGCTACTGGCGAGGAGGCACCGGTATCTCAGGGTAGAACAATTCGGGACCTCCTCCCACGCTCTCTGCGTCTCGTGGGGAGAAGGTTTACACTTACCTCTCCATATAATAAAGCGATACTCTATTGACCACAGTACGATTCGACACCG